TACAGAACCTCCTGGTCCTACATCGAATGCTATGAAGCCTCTCCTCAGAGGGCAGCAGGGAGAACAATCCCATGTTTAAATTGTCCATCTGCTCTTTTCTGGCACACAGATATTTTCGCTGGTGGTTTTCGCCTCTATTGTGAACGAGGGTTATGTTAACCTGGGCAGTGAACGCCTCCACTGTGTTTTCAACAAGAATGCAGACGCCTGCAACTACGGCGTGTTCGTGGGCCTGGTGGGCCTGCTGGCATGTTCTTTCTTCTTCCTGCTCGATTACAAGTTCTCTTCCATCAGCTCTGTCAAAGATAGGAAGAAGGCTGTGATGCTGGAGATTGGCTTCTCAGGTGAGAAGAGATCCAGGAAAATGTTGCAGTCTTCCATAAGGTATTTAGAGAACACGGCAAACATGTGGAGAATGTAATCTGTGAAGAGTGGAATGCACCATTATCGTGGTGATGCAATTCACAAAAACAAACATACAACCAGAGCTTACTATCAAAAAATTTCAGTCAAATCAGATCCATGTCGAAATGGCCTAGTCAAAGTTCAAATCTGTATCCAGTTGAGAATCTCTTGCAAGAGAGGCTGTACATCCAATCACATTGAGCTAGATTCAGCTAATTAACAAAGAAGAATGGACAAAAAATGCAAAGGTTGTACCTCTAGAGAGCAGCTGTAATTTAATCAAAGGGGGCCTAACTGTAAGCATTGTTTTTATGATGTTTATGAGTAAAAAGTCTGAGAATCATGTATAATTTTTCAGTTTAACAATTCGGCACTAGTTTGGTCTGCTACATGAATTCAGATAAGTATGTATTTAGGTTAGTAGTGAGAAAAATATAAATGTTAAAGTGATATTATCCTTTAAAAGGTAATGTAAAAGGCACTCCTAAGTGAGACTCTATAAAAAAAAAAAAAAAGTGAAGCAATATTCAGAATGAATGAGAAGTGATGAAACCACCTGAACTGAAAGTGAGTTTCTAAAACATCAAGAGTGCAGTCTTGGTTTGGGCATTTTTTTAAGGTGTTTGTTTCATAAGGTGAAATGAAACAATTATCTGGTAACAACTATTAGGAAAATGATACTGTTTTTTTCTAAAAGAATTATTCATAATATAGGGAAGTATGATATGAGAAATCATCAGCCACAGGTTGTTACTGTGCCAGTATCAAATGAGTTTCCTAGGAAATAAGCACTTGTTGGGTTTTCTGGTGTCTTGCAGGTTTTTGGACCTTTCTGTACTTTGTAAGTTTCTGCTTCCTGGCCAATCAGTGGTCTCGGACCAAAGCTGATGATCTGCCTCTCAACCAGGGGGCTGATGCAGCACGAGCAGCAATCGCCTTCTCCTTCTTCTCCATAATCACATGGGTAAGGCTAAATATATCACTGGAGATAATAGATGCTGTGTCTGTGATTTGTAGCAGTAACAATTTCCTGTAGGTCAGTGGAACAGACCTTTACTGTTCTTGAGCATCTGAGGTGGTCATGGTAGTGCAATTGTCAGGTCCACATGTCCTTTGTGTATCTGGAGTTGTCTTACTACCGTGTCCCTTGATGCATTATGTCTGGGCTGGGACAGAACTGTGGATTATCTTGGTTGCTTTTAAATACTACCAAGTCCTCGTAGAAACAAAGCAAGACCTGTTTTGATTTTATAAGCACAAGACTGTGATTGTTACCAACGTCTGTATGATTCAGAAGCTGCTCCTAGTTTGGGTGTTGATGGAGGGTATCTCAATCTTGGCAAGGAGGGTGCCTTTGCAGATGAAGCGGTTCTGTAGTTTTTTCTGTTTACACATAATTTACAGTGAGAGTAGTTTTTTCAAAAAGTTGTTTGCAATCTGTTGATCACAGTGTTATTTACAACCCAAATGTCCATAGATTTTAATGTTTACAAACCACTTCCAGTAGGAACTCTTGTTTATCTATGCTGCACTTGTCAGAGCTCAGAACAGATGACCCAGTATTCAGGCAAACAGACTGTCAGAACTCTCAAAAAAGGCATTTATTTAAAACAACAGATCTGCAGTGAACAGCAGGGGCATCTTAGGCTGGAATCCTTGCAGGGGGAGAATACAGATTAGTGACCATGTCAATCTGGCAGAAGTAGATTATCAATGTGTGAGTCACTAACCTGGTCCTTAAATTCAGTCCATGCCCAGAGGACGAGGTTGGTTCTAGCCGTTACGCTGCCAACAAGATGCGGCGGGTGCTGCCCAGAGAGTCCCAGACGCTGTAGTCTCAGAGGCCGGAGAACAAACAGGAGATCAGAACCGAGCAGGTGAATGAAGGCAAGATAATCCAGAGGACAGAGCCAAAGACGGTGTCGAGAATGTGCTCAGGATTCAGAACCAGGAGATCACAGGTCCGAAGAGGTTCCCGAGAGACATAAGGAGACAGATCAGAATGGGGACAGGCAGACTCAGAAGTCAAAGGCAGAACGGGTCAGGATCAGGCAATCAGTAACTCTAAGGTAGGCTAGAGAAACTCTCACAACAGGCTCAAGAATAATCTGGCACTGATGACTGGTTAAAGGGCTGGTTAAATAGAGGCAAGAGCAGATGGATCCGATGAACTGTAATGAGAAACTGGGTGGAGGTGAATGGAATGAGCAATCAAGCCAGTCATCACCGCCAAGTTCATGACAGCACTGTCCTCGCCTTAACAGATTTTAAAAGGTGCTCGGTGTGGAAAATCTGAGCAGGATTAAAGCTGTGCAGAAGGGTTTTGATGAGATAATCACGTAATTTGGCCATGAGGTGCCATACAGACCTAATGCAAGCCATTTTCATTCCCATTGTCTATCACACTTATCCCTGCTGGGGTTGTGAGGGGTGCAGGTGCCTATTTCCAGCTGTCAATGGGTGAGAGGCGGGGTACTCCCTGGACAGGTTGCCAGTCTACTGCAGAGCAACACAGAGACAAACAGGACAAACAACCATTCTTGCACACACTCACAGCTAAGGAATATTAGGAGAAGCCAATTAACCTAACAGTCATGTTTTTGGGCTGTGGGAGGAAGCCGTGGTACCCGGAGGGAACCCACGCATGCACACGCAAGCATCAAGCCTAAAAAAGTTATAGAGATGAAAAGAAGAGCACCATCACCTGGAGGGAGCAAAGGAAATGTTAATGCACACTGAAAGTAATACACTGAGCTGGTGTACGTGTGGGGGACCTCTGTTTGAGCTGGTCAAGTTGGATGCAAAAATTCATAATAGCTTCAACCACATGACATCACATGACATAGTTGACACACTTCTCTCTCAACTAAAACATACAAAAAAATGAAAAGAGGATGAAAGCGACAGTTGGTTAAGAGTTGTTTGAGCAACAGAAAATTATTTGAACCTTTTCTTGTGTCTGATAATCAGTCTTGTACATCAGCTTTAGGGAGTTTTGTAGTCATTTCCTCTTGGTGGAGCAGCTTTATCTCAGCAGTGTTGGGTGGAAACATTTTGGCAGTTGGTATTTCATACCAGAGCTCTGCTCTGGATATGAAGCAGGACACCCTTTTATACCTAACATTCAACTGACTGAAAACATCGACTCCAACATCAGATCATTTGGGGGGCGGTTGTTACTTGAGCAAACTGTCAACGTTTAGAGAAATAATGACATTAAACAAAGTCAACTTTTTCCCATTTAATAACCCTTCCATGGATTAAAACAGTCGAGTCCAAACTCTTTGCTATGAGGTTCAAAATTATTAACCTAAAGGTACATGCAGACAAAAAAAAAAAAACATACAAAATTAATGTTGTTTTTCCTATTTTTTTATTGTTAATGATAAACTTAATTTGCCTGTTATGATGCAGCTTGTCTGATTGTTTATTTTTCTGGCTTTAGGCAAAGCAGAAGTCTTTTTGGTAACCCTATGAGCTAAAATAAGAATGCATTTAATGTCAGCCAGTTTAAAAGAAAGGATCATATATTTTATACAGCTTTAATGTTCTAGTTTTAGCTGCAAAGAGACAACAATCTTTTTAGCTGCCAGGTTAAAGCTAATTTATTAGTATTAGCTATGCTTACCAATATGCAATGTTTTGATTAACTCTACTGTTCTCCTTTTGTATTATTTACAAGATTTTATCAAAACAAAGCAATATTCAATGTAGACAATCATTTGTCTTTGGCAAATTATTAACATGCATATGAACAAAAATACCAAGGAAAAGGATAACAAATAGAAACCAGTGGGCAGAATCACATAAATATATTTAATAAAGTGCACAAATTAATTGTTTTATCAGCTTTTTTGTTATGGGAATGAGAAATGTTCACAATGTGTTATTCTGTAAATCCAAAAGGCGAAATATGAGTTTTTTTAGATTTGTTATGAATTATTAGGTTGATTATATAAAATTATTTTTGTGTTTTCTATTTATAGCATGAATCCCAAATAATACAGAGTTCCAACTTAAACATAAAACAGATAGAATTTTTCTTTGAATATAATGAGTTACATCTTTTAAGAAGGTGACTCTGCTGTTCTCTCTGTTGCCCCCTGTAGGCCGGCTTAACCGTGCGTGCGGTCCAGAAGTACCTTCTGGGAACAGACATGACCCTGTTCACCACTGAGCACATGGACGGCGGCGCACCAACCCAGCCGTACCCGTCCAATTCACCAGGAGGCGCCCCAACCGACACCACAGAGGCCTACCAGAGCCCGCCGTTCACCGAAAACAACACAGCCCCTACATACCAGGTTCCTATTTACTAGGACAGACAGATGTGTTGATGGAAGAGACGCAGATAAAAGAAAATTGTTTTCTTGTGATTTCTGTTTCAAGTAAAGTTGTTCTTGAGTCGACCCGGGAAACAGTTTTCAATAGCTGTTTAGAATAAAGTCGTCCGGCCTCTGCTTTCTTGTTTCCTCCTCTCGTTTCCTGCCCCTCCTGAACATTCCAGCTTTATCTGCCTTTTTTTCTAGACCTGCAGAAAGGATATTCCTCCTGCATCGGCGCAGATAAATCAAAATCAAAACTAGAGGAGGAAAAGTGAAAGAGGGAGGTTCCTTTTGAAGTGTTCAAAAATCATTTTGTTCTGAACAAATTCCACCACAGTGGTTTTAAACAACAGTGAGCAGTGCAGGGAGTGTTCTCTTATAGCACTTTGGTCTTAATTCTTTTCATTCATTCAGGTGTCAGTTTTCTTGCCAAACACTGGGAATGATCTTGTTTTCATTCATTAGCAGCATAGATAACTCCTCCTGTGTTCCCAGTTGGTGATCATTTGCATTGAATCTGTATGTTTCCAAACGTAGAGATCAAATAAGTGCCATATTCTTACCGTGTGTCTGAGGACGTTACCGAGTTCGGTCAGTTTTCCACATGCTGTACACAACTGCAATGTTTTATGACAGAGTGCAATATTTCATATTCTTGTGTACTGTAGGCAGGCAGGCAGGCACTGTACTAAAGTGAAGACATTATAATCAGAGCAGGTTGACTCCAGGGTCTGTCTCAAATGACACATTTCTTAAAATCACTCTCATTCAAATACTGTATTGATCAAATTAAAGAGATTATTTCCACCATTCAAGACTTTCTAGGAGTTTTCATAGAGAGAAACACCATCACCATTGGTGAACAATTATTACTTAGTTTATGAATGCACCGTTTTAATTCTCACTCTACCCAAGCCAATTGAATGAGGCCTCGTGCAGAATATCCTTTGAGGGCTCCTCAGATATTTTTCTTCTTTTTGTTTCCTTTTCCATTTTGCACTTATTGTGGAGAAAAGTACCAAGCTAAGGGGAGTGTTGAGCAGTGCGCTTGTTCTCTGAGAAGGTTTCATCTACCCGGTTCCATCCCCACAGCCTGTACTCTGGGTCCCTGAGCAAGACCCTAACTCCACACTGCTCCCCAGGTGCCGCACAATGGCAGCCCACTGCTCCCTAAGAGGATGGGTTAAATGCAGAAGTAAATTTCTCTAGTGAGAGATTAATAAAGTTCAATTATTATTATCAAATGAAAAATGTTAGTGATATTTGTAACATATGGTGCTTTCCTTGACCATTCACAATCACATCAGTGGCTTCAAATTATTCATTGTAGAATTTTGATAAAAAGTTTTTTTAACCATTGAATTTTTTAACTTCCCTGGTAGAGTTGATCTTATTTTAGTTGAGGCAGTTTAGATTTTTTACTTTACATCTACTCTAGTGAAGAGAAATAGGGAAACAGTGGAAAGCAAAAATGATAAAACATCTGATAATTTTTAGTGATCATGAAACATGTAAAAACTGTTTTCCAAATGTCTCTTCTATTTAAAAATAAAGTGATGTATATCCTCTAAAGTTTATGTGAAAAACCCTGTAATTTATGTTAAAAAGTCAAAAGCTGTACCAACTTGGTTGGATAAACCTTTGAAGTAATACTTTGATGAAACATCATTATTTTCAACTTAAGTATTTAGACTACTGATTAACATGGAATAAACTTTTCTGTAAGAATCTGTAGAATCTTTGCTCATTGACACCCCTTAGTTGAAGTCCTGTTTTACAAAGGTTACAGAGGAAGGACAGGATTATACAAAAGTACCAATCAGGAGACGAGTTAGATTTAAAATATAAAACTGTGAATATAGTCCCCAATAGGTAGAAGATATATGTCACAACAGGATATTTTTTTTTCAAAATGGTTGAAAAAAAAATCAGATTATTGTGGTAGACTGCCAAATGGCCACTTCTCTGAAGACCCACCATGAATTACTGGTTTGCTCTGATTGTGGTCATGTGACCACAGTCTCCTTTATTCTTTGTTTCTAAACTAAAGGATGGATTGTAAGATCCACAGCATCTTTTTTTCTTAAGGAAAAAAGCGCTGTATTTAAATGCCCTTTGGAGAAACCGTATCATAGTCTGACGAAACCAAACCTTTTTACACACCAAGTTGGTGGTGGTTGCATCATGGTTTAAATGGTTTCTTGCTGAGCCCCCTTACAGTTTACAAGAAACTTTTTGTGCCCCCCGTCATGCTCAACGTTTTTAACAGCTGATCAAATGCAGGTCCACTGCAATATATTTCATATTGCAAAAAGATAAACTGTAATCTCTTTTAAATAAAAAAAACTACCACTCTAAAAGCGTAGTTATTTTAAGTTCAACTGTTATTTAACAGTGTAGCAGAATTCAACATTGCAATAAAACAAAGTTTAAATACATCTATAAATGGATAATTTATACAGCTTGTTTCTACTGCTATACCTGCATGAAATTACACCCGGTCACCCTATAGGAGGCACCACCCCCCCAACATTTCTCGAGATAGAACTGGCAGCGTAAAATACCTGTCAGTTCTGGCTCCAAACCTTTTCATTTTCATGTGACTTTATGTACATAAAAAGTTTCTGAATGGCCTAGTCAAAGTCTAGAACTAAATCTCATCAAAGGAACTTGTTAGGTCATTTGAAATGGGCTGTAAATAAAAGACGTTCTCACCATCGAATAGATCCAGAAGACTTTTGTCTGAAGGAAGAATAAATGTTATCCAATCATGGTATGTGATGCCCACAGACTCCTATGAAAGAAAAAAAGATCCCCAAAATAAAATAAAACTGCTTCAACAAAGTATTAATTCATAAGCATCCACATTTATACACCAAGATTACCACAGATTTATATTTAACTATTATTTCAAATTTCTTTATCCCTCTAACAATTTTTACAGGATATTATGTCACATTATATTTGGAATTCCCCTCTAAATATCTTATCATACTTATCATACTTTTCAAATGTTTTAAAATGACAAAAACCTGGTATTTTTACTAGGGTTTCGGAAGCAAATGTATTTCCAGAACGTTAAATCCGACTGTTAATCTAACCTCAACTTTTTCAGCTCTTCCCTACTTGTGTTGAAATAAAAAAGTGGCTTGTATCTCAGGCTGACCCTGCTGTAGAAGCTAATCATCTTTTATCGTTCCATAGTGCATGAAGAAGTGTGCTATTTAGGCAGCATCCTTTGAGCGTAAGATGTGTGGGAATGTTGTGGAGAAATAAGTTCAATGTTGTTTCCTTTTTTTAAAAAGCTGCTAAATCACAGTTTTGTTAAGGGGCAAAGGTACAGATGAGCTTTATAAAGGCTAACTCTAAAGTTGAAAACTGATTTATCAATTTTTCCAATCCTGCCTCTAGATCTGGGGTGGCTGGTTAGGTTGAATTAGTATCTGAGGTGACATTGATTGGTGTGGGGAGGATGTGGGTCACCTTTCCAATGTAACGATCTATCAGAGTGATGTGGGGCGTCCATGTGCAGCGACAAAACGTTTCCACTCAGACATCAGCTTTTATTTGTGACGGTTTTAGCAAACTTTATATTGTTATAATAGGTTTGAATATTTCTGCTCACTTTTTCGCTGTCAGGTTGTCTGAAGTCCGAAGCATGAGGTCAAGAGGTAGGTTTGTTTTCAACAAGCAGGACAAAATAGGAAGGTTTATCATCAGCTCTGGTCAGAAGTCTCTTCTAATGATTTATTCAAACCAGGATAGATCGATTATACAGTATAGGTAGACCTTGAACACACACTTTCTGTTGTCATCTACTAGCTGCTAAAACAATTTTGATGACAACATCTCAACCCTTTCCTCTCTTATCAGTTTAAATGGTGGCTTTTGTGACGTAAACCTGGATTTCAGACAGTTTTCCTCTATTTTTTTAAGTTCAACAAGCACCCCTGGCAAAAAATCCCACAGCATGACCATGCCACTACCTTGCTTGTGTGATTTTCTTTTACAACGTAATCAGTCTTATATTTCTTCATTTTTCGCTACTGAATTTCAATGACAATGTCAAATGCACAGAATTAATAAGCATTTGTTATAAACTTAAAGAACTATGCCTTCTTTATATCAATCAGGAAAATCCAATTACCCGAGGTGTCTGTTTGCGACAGCTTGGCAAAATCTATTAACCATGAAGTGTTGAGACTTTAAAAGTGAATTAAAAGCTGTTATATCTTTATTAAGATGCTCAAGAGAAAGTCGTGTATGGAATGTGGTGGGAAATGGTCAGAATGAGGAGACAGAATATAGCAGCCGAGTAGTCCTCCATGTAAACGTCAGGTTAATATAAGTTAGCATTCATTTTGTCTGGGTGCGAATGGGGTTTTGATGGTGGTGTCATTTGTTCGGGGTGCTGTCAGGTCCAGATGTTTTATTGTTCTGGGTGCTTCAGTCTCTTATTCAGTCAATGTGGTAGAAGAAGATTATTAATAATAATACAAGCATTCTCTGTGTTTTGTGCTCTGGCCTATGTACACTACTGTGATACTGGTTGATTGTACAGAAAAAAAGAAATGTAATAAAAAAAACAACAACAAAAAAACAGTATGTTTATGAAGTAAATGAAAATCTTGTGTGATGGTGTCCAGGGTCTGGTTTGTCCCGTACTACTGAAAATAAGAAAATATTATCTATGAGAGTTATTTATTAACTAGACTGCACTCCTTTTTGCAAATACTTTGTGAGAAAACTCATAAGGGGGCCGAAGTTGATGTTTTACGCCATCGTTCTGCTGTTTTGTGAAGCTGAAGTGATGAAAAGGCTGTTAGGTGTAGTTAAGCTGGGACCATCGGTGGTACCGGCACAATGCATTGCATGGATGTTACAACACACCCATATAGCCCCTCCCTTTTTACCAAAAAGAAAAGGATTCTCATTGACAGATGAAGCAGTCATTGGTTTATTTTTATTTTTTTTGTAGTGATCCAGCCCTTTAACATTTTTCTAAGTTGTTTTCTTCCTGTTCTGAAGTTGTAAACTCGCTGTGTACAGAGATGTGTGTCACTGTCTGTTATCTGGACTGCAGTCTGACCATCACTCCAATAAAAGATAAAGTCGGTTTTGGACTGCCTGTTTCTGTCATTATTTCCCTGGAATAAGCATCAAAGAGACATTTGGTCATGCTGCAACCAAAAAAATCAATAGATTTTAGGAAATAAGACTTAGAATTAACAGTAAAGTGGAGAGAAAAGAATACACTATTAGAAAAATATTTTTTTTCAAGGATCATTGCCATCACTACCCGCTAATAACTTAGTGGGGAAGTTGCATTTTGACTTATTTGGCTTGTTTGAGTCGTTTATTTTAAGAATGAAACCTATCGCAAGTTATCACTGTGTGATGTCATTTGATTAGGGCTGGCTGGAGTAATCGGATGAATCAATTATTGAAAAAATCATCAACTAATTTAGTAATCGATTGTTTACTAGAGTATAGAGACTGTAACATACACTTTTTTGCTGTCAGAGCGAGCAACTTAGATAACGAACTATATCAAAAATATATATATGAACATTTTGCATTTATGATTAATGCAAAATGTTAAATGTTTTTGTCAATATGCTCTATCCAGAACCCCTCAAGTGGAAAAGGTTTCACCTGCTTTAATTTTATAAAAATTATTCTTTAAGGAACCTTTCGCTATCAGACTGTTAATCAATTAATCGAAAAACTTTCTCAACAGATGAATAGATTAGCAAAATAATCGTTGGTTGCAGC